GTGATGTTTGCTCTGCAGCCTCAACCGGGGCCGTTTTTTATGAAAAAAGTGCCCAGGGCCAATGTGACAGTATGTTACTGTATGTCATAAAAAAATCAGGAGAATCTGGGATGTGGAATGTTGCAAAACACCTCGACATCACGAATCTCGGAGCTAATACGCTTACGGTAGTTACGGGGTTTTCCAAGCTAACACGCTTGAAGCCGCTCTTCCCCACTCACTGCCAGTAATTGTTGAATAGTGGGGCCTTCCCCTACCTTGCAATAAACAAGCCCCCTCGTCGATGACAAGTCCCCTAATCAGTAGATAAGACCTCTTATCTCGTTGACCAAGATAAGAAGATAGGACCAGCACCAGGCGCTTTCGGCATTACCCGCCGTTGCCATCTAGGCTGGCAACAATGTCCGAGCCATGCTGCTCGCTGTTCCCCCCATCAACCAGCCTCCCCGGCATGCCTCCCGCACCCTTCCTTTTTCGTGTCCCCTCGCTAAGTGGTCTGTGCACCCGCCTTTGTTTGTTTGTTTATTTACCTTGTCCGTTTACAGAAGTCGAACCATTGTCTGTCCCTTTCCCACACCTCCTTCCCTCCTCCCTCCTCCCCCCCTGCCGTCGCTGTCCTCGTCGCCTGGGGCATTTGCGCACTGTCAGCGCTGGCAGCGGTAGGGGCCACCACTCCAACTCATCCTGCAACTCTCCTCTGTATATCTGCGCTCTGTGTGCCACATCAATCACTGTGCTGCGTCCCGCCCCCGCCCACCTGTGCCCTGCGACACCTTTGCACCCTCGCCTACCCGCCCCCCACACTGTCCTTCCTGCACCGCACCCTCCTGACATCTCATGTCTCCCGTCACCAGCACACACTCCTCATGTTCAGCGCTACCCTTCAACATCCTTGACAACCACATTCGCGGTTCACGCGTGGCATGGGCTCAGACATTGTCACACTATTCTGTTGTTCTTAGAAACATGTTGTGGGTCATGGGTTACGTGGAAGGGGAAATATCGGACTTTGGTATGTCAACCTTCCTACTTTTTAGCTTGGGTTCTCGTCCTCCACACCAATTCCTCCCCTCTCTTTGCCTCCCCTCTCTCCATGCCTCCAAAGCTATCGCGTGGGGTGATCTTTAGTGTCCCTGATGACGATGACGATCCCCTTGATTTCCCTGCTCTCTCCAAACCATCGGCTGACCTTTCGGATTCCCAGGCACCCCGGCTCTCAAAGTCTGGAACTCGTGTAGTCGTCGGGCGTGATATCCGGGAGTTGCGAGAGCGTGCGGATGAACAGTTCATGCAGCATCAAGAAGGTATGTACTGTTTCCATTGCTATCCAAGGTATGGCTAACATCAGCAGGTCTCAGCAAGGCGAACCGTGAGGCGATGGCTGAACTTCGCGGAAGCAACTTCCCTCGTCAGCAAGAAGACGACGATCAAGCAGTGATGGTGGATGACGGGGATCCAATGTGGGTTCCTGTTGGGGACTTCTTGGAGAACGATGACGCGTTTCGCACGGCGATCGGAGAAGCTGTGCATCAAAGGTGCGTTTACTCGCTCTGTGATCATCCCCTTCCACTCATTGTTTCCCAGCGGCAGCCTTCCACGCCGATACAAGGACGACCGCACATGGCATAGGCGCGTTGAACGGAGTACAGCCAACTGGGCCCCTGCCATGGACTCCCTCGTTGAAGGATACCTCCAGTGGAGGTACGGTTCTGCTACTCCGTCCTCGACTTCAAACCCTGGCCAGCAAGCTGCCACATCCCTGCCTCCTGCTGACCATGATGTGGTCATGCAAGAGGATAACTCGTATGATTTCTTGATCTCTGTTGTTGACCTATACACGCTGTCGACTACGTTACATGTACCTCGCACTGCTGAAATGACCACCCCAGAGGCCTTGGCGCTACAGGGTTACATACCCTCAACGCCGTTGTCACCGACCATCGCGATCTCTATCAAAACCCTCGAGTTGTTCCAGAGAATAAGACTTTGCAAGGCGTCGTTTAGTGTAGAGGCATTTAGTAAGGTCCTTTGTGACCTCTACGGAGTAAGCACAATTATGTTGTTAATTACATGTTATCAAACTCTTCTCAGGTACCTTACCAACGATGTCAATGCAATGCCTTGTCGGCTGCTTTTGATGTTTATCTGGAGATTCTACGTACCGTTGATAAGCGTGTGGCCGCCTTTCTAGGCAGGGACAGTCCGAATTGGAGGGTGCTCAATTCCTGCCCTCCCTGCACCTATGAGGTACGTACATCCCCAGTGTTCTTGCAGTAAAACTAATCCTCTCATGTAGTTGGAAGGAGAGCCTCATCTCACCTTCACTCGCATGTTTGCTATGGATGGCAATAACTCCCTCAAACGTGTCGAAAAGATTGGCGAACGCAGCATTGGCGATCATCGTGTGTTCGAAGGAAGCGACTACTACCTTTCTGAGGAATATGTCAATCAATTTGCGGATGAAGTGAAGGCACGTAAGAAGGCGGAGGATTCTGTGTTGTCTGCTGCGCCTAGCATACCCGAGCCCACACCTACAGGCACTGAAAGTCCGAGGGCCGCCGGCGAAGGTGGAACATCAAGCGTGACAGATTCCTCCCCATTGGAGGGGGGCCAACATGCACCCGAAGCTCTGCCTGCTACGGGTGCAACAGATACCCTGCCGGCCACTGGTAATGGCCCCACATCAGAGTCCGTGCAATCGGTACAACCAAACACCGATGACGATGTCATGGAGGCTGAACCTGGTGATGCGCAGCACCTTCCTGAACACCTCTTCCCATGTGCCAACACCTGGAAGAACGCCTCCGCCGATGAGAAGAAGCAGATGTGGCAGCTCTTTCGCGAGGCGGGTGCCTTTGCCGGTGCATGCAGGCACGGCATGATTCTCTGGATTGTGGACATGGTGAAAAGCGGTGAATTGTAAGTTGACTTTACTGAGCTTTCAACGGAAACTCACATAAGTCTACATAACTAGGGCAAAATATCCCTTGGCCCTCGTCGCCAAAGCTCTCGACACACTCGGCACACGTCTCTTGATTGGGTATGACATCGGGTGTGCCTTTTCGTCAACCATTGCATCATCATCTCTTGGTCCGAAGTTCCAGGCCTCTGGATCGCGATGCTGTGTGAACGCCTTCCACGGATACAGCCATAACTATCTCTGCCAAGTCCACAATCACCCTAATGTCATCGTCGGAATGGGCCTCGAAGATCTGGAGGTAATGGAACACATTTTCAGTGCATCTAACCAGCTGGCTCCAGTCATCCGCTATGCCACACGTTTTCGACGTCGTGTTCTTATTGATTTGTTCTTTCGTCAGTGGGATGATGACAAATACCTGAATCTACCTACTTTCCTGTACGACAACTACAAGCAGGCACTCAAGATTATCCGAGAAGATTCAATCGCGCTCGAAGAAGCGATGAAGTCTCAGCATATGTCAAATACCCGAGATCTCGATATTTGGCACCAAGAGCAAGCCATGTACTTTTGACCCTCGGCAAAGAAACAGACTATGATGTACATGCGGTCGCTTATGTCGAGCTGCTCCAGAAACTTGCCAAGTTGACGTGAGTGCCGATCATTGTCTTCATGATCTCCGGATCTCATGACTCCTGAAAAGTCGACTCTATGATGACAAGACATCGTCGTTTTTGGTAGCTACTCCCTCAGAATACAGGAGTGCAGAGGCTGGTGCTGGCGCTACTACAGGGGAGACTTATGGCTCAGAGTTATCAAAGACAAGATGGCTCGAGACGGAACACAAACATTTGGATACCGAGCATCAATCGGTGTTGAAAGAGGTCATGGAATTTGAGCTGAAGCTAGGGATCACAACAACCTGGACTCCTTCCACACCGGAATATATCAATGCTCTCACCTACAAGGACCGTCGAGATTATGAGTGAGCACTCGATGATTTGCAGCGTCTAGTTGTTCAGCGCTTGTTCGAACTCCACAAGATGAATCAGTCAATGAATGGTGTGTCATTGGTCCTCGATCAACCTTGATCGAGATCTCGGATCAATTTCCCCACAATTAACCATACTTATGCCCTCGACAGGCTACAAAATGCGAACCAGCATTGTGAAAGCTCTTCAAAATCGGAGCAAGACCATTCAGAAAGCCGTGAAAACGTACAACGCCGCGGCACTCGCACTTAAGCCACCCAAACCGACTATCGACTGGGGAACCGTGTCGCACTTCAAATTCTTAGAGGACTTCCCCCTCCTTCGCAATACAAAGGCCGATATCGATGGAAAACCCTGGGCAAAGCCGGTTATTCGTGAGATTATCAAACAGCATCACCGGCTGTGCCGCGCTCGCGAGGAGATCACAAGGTGCAATGTCGAAATTCGTCGGCTTCACACTTACATCATCGATGAGGGGAAAGACTTCGAACGAGCCCTCCTGCGATGCACGCCAGCCATTGGGCCTCTTGGTGGTGCTGTTAAGGAGTTTATTCATCGCCGAACACGGGCAAATATCTCCGTTCTCACCCGACTCGCTCGTATCTACAAATTCGAAGAATTTTCAGGAAACAGCACACCAGGTGTTCGGAAGGGCCAAGGTGTTTTCTTTTTCATAATCACAGATTTGCGATGTTGCTAACATTCTATTTGGAAGCTCCAATGGACATTTCAGAAGACAGTGCGGTGCAGCCAGCTGTGGCAGCCAGCGAACACGAGAACTTGAATGTGCCATCTACCGTTCAGCAGGATCGACTGATAACACCTCATGACATTGCAAACGACGACTCGGACAGTGATTCTGATGGAGAAGGTGACACTACTCAAGAAGGCCTTGTTGCTATTGTTGATTTTGTGTCGCAATTGTCAGTCAAAGACGGGTAGGTTTTCGTTTTTGTAGTATACTTTTCCAATGGAACAATTGTAGTTGTGACAAATAGTGACGGATCCTTGATAAAGGTTAACGTAGATTCTTCTCTTTCCCTCAACTTTGCATCCACCTCCTTTCCTCCTGTCATAGCTGGCGTGCACACTACATCTCGAACATGAACACTGGCGAGGTATGCTACGTCTCTGTTGGTGGTACCCAACGAGGCATACATGCAAGCATGTACGTTGGTTTGTTCTTTACCATATGAACACTGCTGACAAGCTCTTAGGCCTTTCCTCAGCAGCCGTCGCAACCACCCTACTTTTCCAATTGTTTTCAAGTGCCAGTCCCATGCCGAGGCAAGCATGTTAACTATGGTGAATGGGCTGATCGAGCGCGGTCCCACGTTTCATGGCGATGTCCTCAACATTGCCTGGTTTGTCTTCACAGACCCATTCATCATGCAAATATGCCCCGACAGGCACCCTTTTTATCCAGTTTACTATGCCAAGATGTCCCTGAGGGTAGTTTTCAGAGACTACCGGTGAGTTTTAGCAAGGATATATGACTCAATTGCATGCTGATGACCACATAGCAGGGATGTGGAGCCCATCGTCAATGGTGCTGTGCGGCCTATCTTTCGTCGCTGCGAGTACTTTCACGAGGCATTAGTTTTCATGATCTTGCGTGGTCAGCACCACCTTCTTGATGATTTCCCTTTTACCCCAAAACCGTATGAAGAACGACGAAGTATGTCTCTGTAATCCTCATTAATGAACTCTAACAACATGCAACTTGCAGGTCCACGTACAAGCGTCGGTGCCCCACCTTCCATAATTATCCCTGCTGGCAGCTCTACCCCTTCTAGTTTACCCTCGGTCAGCTCCGTCTCATCAGTGACATCGTTGGATTCGCAATCAACAGCAGCAAGTGGTAAATCTGCCTCCCACCCACCGAAACACGCCACAGGGGCCAAGGGAAAGAAAATGAGTGCCGACCCCTCCAATCACCAACAACTTGCCATTACTATGACCCCTGCCACATCCAAGTGCCCACCTACAACCAGGAAGCCACCTGCCAACACTGCCAACACTGCCAACACCCCCACCGCCACTGCCCAAAACTCAGATTCTGCTCTGAACCACCTAAAAGCATCAGCTGCCACCTCTACCAAGAAGCAACCTATTGTGATAGTGAGTTCAGATTCGGAGATTGATGAGTCAGGCGAGGGCGACGGTAAGTATTTCAGGTCTTGCTATAAAACAGTATTGAACATCTTGACAGGCTTGGACACCGTGGTACTACTGCCCAAACCTTGCCTCCGTCATCGTTTCATCCGTTCATTGGCAGGTATTGTCGGCACGGTGGAAGTTGGTAAGGAAGGTCCTATTGAAGACCCGCCACCTTTGATCAACAAGTTCCTGGACCACTTCTTCAAGTGCCACGGTTTCCTTTCCTCCTCAATTTGGACTATAAAACATGCAAGCGATCACAGCAAGAACCGAACTGATTTCATAAAGTACCTGACCGACCGTGGCGCGCCTCGGTTAGAGATTGAGTGGATCTGGGAGCACCTTGGTCGCCAGGAGTGATCACCATTGTATGTTTTTTTTTGTTTACATGATACACATCCTCTTCAAGCTGCGATGGGTCGGTTCATTTTTTTTTTCTTTGCTGTGTATATAAGTTTTTGAATGCTATTTCCCCACCTCCCCATACCTCTGTGCCATGGCCACCTCCCTGACCGAACGTCTTCATGCCCCCTCACGTACTCTTCAGACAAAGAAGACCCGCCCATACAGCACTTGCAAACGGACGGTCATTAAGCGCACTGACACTGAACGTGCCGTGGCGAAAGCTCGCAAGCAAGAGGAGCGGCTGCAGCTCAAGGATGCATTGAAGGCCACCAAGAAGCTCCTTATGCAAGAAGCTATCCGCATGCGTGAGCGGTTCGGAGGGCACTCCGTCTCTTACTACTACGAGAAGATTATGCAAACAAGCCGAATCAACCGTGGATGCCGTGCAGTTAGTCTATGGAATGCCTTCCTCGCCGTTGAGATGAAGGCTCGAAAAGATGGTACATAGCTACCTCCCTCTATCCTCTCTGCTACTAAACATTACTTCTCCCAGAGGCGGATGAGGACGACAGGCTTGTGAAGGTCTCTGAGATCAGTCATGCGGCCTCTGTCAAGTGGAGCAAGATGTCCTCGAGTGAGCGCAAGAAGGCTGCAGCCCCTGGCATTGAGCTTGTTGAAGAGGCTCGTGAGGTGAAACTATTGGCTAAATGAAACACTCCCCTTGCAGCAGCCCAAGACGCTCACAAGACACTCAACAAAATAGAGCACAAGGTGTGTATCGTGTCTGTTCTACCCTTCAGCTGTTCTAAGTGAGCCTGCGCAGATGCGCACTCTACGTGCTCGTACTGGTGTTGAGTCATTCCTTGTTGCTGTACGAACCAGGCCTGATCAATATGGGAAGCCATTTGCCACCGTCAGCAGCAAGCGTGGCGAAGATTTCTTCAACTTATCAGTCCGTGAGACTATGCCCGAGTTCGCACTTCGCTTTGAGGCTTTTTGTCTCTCAGGGGTGCAAGGTATTTAACCCTTTTTCTTTCTCAGATGCTTACTGACTTAAGTACTTCAGGTGTTGCCAGCAACTATGTCCAGCAGACCATACAAATGAAGCATGAACTCGCTGCCTTGATCCTGTCCAAACTTGTGAGTATTTCCTTTTCTACTTAGGCGTCATCTCAACATTTCATTTTAGGCGAGACCGCTGGCATCCACGTTCCTCGGATGTATTATACCAACTTCGATGACAACATCACAGCCAAGTATGCTGTCATCCTCGTTGGCTGGCCCCTTGACAAGTTCTGCAACCCAAGCGAGATGGGTTCTTGCACCGAGGTCGCATTGGTCCACGCATCATTCAACTCAGGTGCCATGAGGTTTGAAAAGCTCTCTGCAGAGGCCTTCACAGCCTGGGAGGAAGCGCGATTCAACGCGGCTGTCTCCACTACGACTCACAATGATTCACCACTGGCACAAGTTGAGACACCTTCACCTGCGATGGAGGTTGATGCCAATGCCACTGCGTTTAGCTCCTGAGCCAACAGTTGTCTCCCCTCCAGCCCAATCCACTGTCCCGGCTCCCCCAGCTGCCTCTGAGGGCTCATCTCGTGCACCATTGGCTGACAAGTTCATCAATCATGGTGTGACCACTGTGGATGGCCGCCCTGTTGCTATCACCAAGAAACCCCGCAAAACCCGCAGCGACAAGGGCTCTAAGCGTGGGCCACGTAGTAAGGCCACGGCGTAGTCTAGATTCTCTTGCTTATGTTATTAGAATTTCGTTGACTTCAGAATAATGATTTTATTGATGGATAATTATTGACAAACATGATATTTGTAAACTACTGACATCTAGACCGAGATCTGGGTAAGTCCATGCACCATGGTAGCAAAGACTACACTATGCGGAATCTCAGAGAAAGGTGGAAGAAGAGAAGACGGAATCACCAACGAGAAGGCCGATCACTCGCAAAAAGAAGCATTGTATGACATGATACGGAACTACAGAGTACAACGCCAATGAGGAAGGAGCCTAACATGAGGACCATATAGCCTGAGCAGAACAGAAGGTACAGTCAGCGTTGCAGAAGCAAGTGGCAGGGAGACAGCAATCACCAAATGAAGGGCATTCCATTGGACTAAACACGTGTAGGGGCTCGCGTGCACTGTGGGCAATGTGTTGGAGAGCAGTTCTGAGGGTGATGGAATGATGAAGGCTGGAGGGAGAGGGTTGGCATCATCGCAGGTGTTTATGTGTGCAGACGACAAGGGCAAAAGGGGCATCACAGGGCGCGGGTGAACGAGGGCAGCAGGGGTGAACGAGGACGGCGTGGGTGAACGAGGGCAGCGCGGGTGAACGAGGGCGGCAGGGGTGAACGAGGGTGGCGCTGGGTGCAGGAAGGACAGTGTGGGGGGTGGGTAGGCGAGGGTGCAAAGGTGTCGCAGGGCACAGGTGGGCGGGGGCGGGACGCAGCACAGTGATTGATGTGGCACACAGAGCGCAGATATACAGAGGAGAGTTGCAGGATGAGTTGGAGTGGTGGCCCCTACCGCTGCCAGCGCTGACAGTGCGCAAATGCCCCAGGCGACGAGGACAGCGACGGCAGGGGGGGAGGAGGGAGGAGGGAAGGAGGTGTGGGAAAGGGACAGACAATGGTTCGACTTCTGTAAACGGACAAGGTAAATAAACAAACAAACAAAGGCGGGTGCACAGACCACTTAGCGAGGGGACACGAAAAAGGAAGGGTGCGGGAGGCATGCCGGGGAGGCTGGTTGATGGGGGGAACAGCGAGCAGCATGGCTCGGACATTGTTGCCAGCCTAGATCAGCAGACGTAATGCCGAAAGCGCCTGGTGCTGGTCCTATCTTCTTATCTTGGTCAACGAGATAAGAGGTCTTATCTACTGATTAGGGGACTTGTCATCGATGAGGGGGCTTGTTTATTGCAAGGTAGGGGAAGGCCCCGCTATTCAACAATTACTGGCAGTGAGTGGGGAAGAGCGGCTTCAAGCGTGTTAGCTTGGAAAACCCCGTAACTACCGTAAGCGTATTAGCTCCGAGATTCGTGATGTCGAGGTGTTGCAAAAAGGCGCGTATGAGGTGTCACCTTAACTTGGCGCGGGTTTATTTTTAGCACAAGCTGCTAAATTGGGATCTGGCATCAAAATAGCCATTGCTGGCGCATTTCGGGCTCGTTTGGCTTCCCCCTGGGTGGAAATTGATGGGAACGATGACGCGATAATTTTTAGGTAACTCATAGCTACCTGTAGACGCCCAGAACGTGTGAATACGACCATTTTTGGCGATGTTATGGCCTAAACTGTGCTTCTATGCACAAAAATGCGAAAATGCGCACCTAATGCTCTGCCTCTCATGCATCCCTGCCTCATAAAAACTAGCCGATAATTTAGTATGCTACTAGAGCTTCAGAACGAGCCAATAATAATGGCCTTGCATGCATTATTGGTTATGCAATGGGCCTTTCGATGTTTATGTGCTAAAAACCCGAAAAATCGCACTCAAATCTCTATGCCACACATGTATCTATCCTTCCAAAACATTATTTGTTCAGATAGAGGTTAATAAAGGCTACAAAACGCGCTATTCAGCGTCTCCACGCGTTCATTTGTTCCAAAGATATACCTACAACACTTCACAAGATACCAGAAAAATCGAAAATGTGCACTCTTATATCCCTTCAAGCAAAGCTGGGGTTATTCCTGTCACTCCAACATAATATGAACACTATCCTAGCACCCTCCCTTCTTTTTCTGCCCTCAAGACTGTGTAGAAACACCCCAATTCCATGACCAAAGACACTTCCTCCTTCTTGCCTGGGGGATTCCCACAATGTTGATGGTGGACATGGCATCCTTCTGGCATATCCTCTAGTGCCCCAAATCTCATCAGATAGCTCGGAATACTTACTATACTACTGTTAGAGTAATATAGAAAAAGTCCGATGCAAGTTGAATAAGAACTGAATATTTTATTCATGCAACTGTCCTTCTGCCTTCTCAATTGCCCTCTCCAAGATTCTACCTCGGATTGGAGGTATAGTCCTTGCTCTAAAATTTCGTAAAAATGTGTTTAAAATATATATTATAGATTATAGTAACTATCAGGTGTTTGTAAACCCCTCTCAGACCTGTGAGCAATGATACTACCTCCAGTTTCCGGGGTGAACACATTTGACAAACTAGGCAATATGGTGATCACCACTCCTCACCAGTCTGTTTGAGGTTCATTTCAGACCTTCTGCCTTCCACAATGACCCAATCACAATAGAACTTTTTGAGGACACTTAGAAGTAGTCAGTAGAATGTCTCTGCATTGTCTGATTAATTATATATATCCTTGTTCTCCTTAAAGGTGGCAATCAGTTCGATTTTTATGTTATCTAAGGTGTCACATTGGTCGTCTCGGAGGTGTCGGAATTTTAAGAGGAGATTGTTCCGATTCTGGGACATGTTTTTTCTTGAAGATTGGTGAAGAATTGGGCATCCCATGGGGCAAACAAGGTGATTATAGGTAGAAAACCCGAAATTGGCCACTGCAAGTGCATTTGGCATTATTAACTCCTGTATTCTTGCATGGAGGTACCTATATGGCTACCATTAACATGTATATATGTTACAGCTCACATAAGTAGCCTGGGGAATGGGAAATGGAGGGCGCATTTCTGGCTTTTCAGGGGGAGGAGGAAGGGGTGCTTATATTATATTAAAAGGGAGTCTATACCATGCTATGTGATTGTAAATAGTGAGTAGGGCACTGGGTGAGACTGACTGAAAAGTTCTACAGGTCTTGGATAATAATTGGGGGAGATACAGAAGTTCGCTTTTTGTGATATTGAGGGATGAGGAGTGTTGTAGGTATATCTTTGGAACAAATGAACGCGTGGAGACGCTGAATAGCGCGTTTTGTAGCCTTTATTAACCTCTATCTGAACAAATAATGTTTTGGAAGGATAGATACATGTGTGGCATAGAGATTTGAGTGCGATTTTTCGGGTTTTTAGCACATAAACATCGAAAGGCCCATTGCATAACCAATAATGCATGCAAGGCCATTATTATTGGCTCGTTCTGAAGCTCTAGTAGCATACTAAATTATCGGCTAGTTTTTATGAGGCAGGGATGCATGAGAGGCAGAGCATTAGGTGCGCATTTTCGCATTTTTGTGCATAGAAGCACAGTTTAGGCCATAACATCGCCAAAAATGGTCGTATTCCCATGTTCTCACGAGCAAAATTATCGCGTCATCGTTCCCATCAATTTCCACCCAGGGGGAAGCCAAACGAGCCCGAAATGCGCCAGCAATGGCTATTTTGATGCCAGATCCCAATTTAGCAGCTTGTGCTAAAAATAAACAGCGCGCCAAGTTAAGGTGACACCTCATACGCGCCTTTTTGCAACATTCCACATCCCAGATTCTCCTGATTTTTTTATGACATACAGTAACATACTGTCACATTGGCCCTGGGCACTTTTTTCATAAAAAACGGCCCCGGTTGAGGCTGCAGAGCAAACAGGTCACATGACCAGTTTTCTGCAGTGCCCCGGGGTCCTGCTTGGCCTATCCCGCCCCCATTCTGCCCCCTCCTGCACCTCCCACCACCCACCCACCCCGGAAATGGATGCTTACTAATTTATTTACCCCCTCCTCATCACCCTTGCAGATACCGGGCACCCGGCAACCCCTCCCTCTTATTAGGAGAGCCTTCCCAAAGCAGAAAGTAGCATATTGCCCTCCAGGGCTTAGATTCATAGTTAGGAAACTGCCTTGTATTCTATATTTTTCTAGCTTACATGGCTGGCAGGTGGTGATGAATGGGCTCACAAGATGTTGTGGTGAATGACCAGAGATGAATCAAGGGGTGGTGTGGATGTAGCATGAGGAGGGGCTGTGTTTTTGAAGTCCTCGCTGTCCGAGTCGTCCACGTAAATGTTCATATCATCATCACTCGATGATTCGTCGCTTGTGGTGTACTTGCTCGAGTCAGAGTCAGGATCGTAGAAGATAAGTCGATAAACTGAGTTGGGGAATGACAGGGCTGTATGTGCGAGTAGCTGTTGGACTGTAGGAAAATGGTAGAGCACGCACCCATCAGCTGTTCAGCCACAGACAGACAATCCCTCATGCAGGGACATTGGAATCACGACACCGTCCTCGAAATCTTTGTCTCCCCACAAGTACCGACCAACATCTTCCAAAAATTGCTTCTCATCATGTGTAAGGGTGAGATGCGAGCATTTGTCGAGGTCTGGCGGGTCCAGGGAGCCGCCGGAGCCGAAGAAGAGGTTGGAGGAGTCAAAGATATGAGTATTCGGGTTTTTGAGGACAACCTTGTAGCAAAATTCAGGGGTGGGAGCAGGAGCGAGATTTGGGTTGGCACTGGTGGTCGTAGAGGTGTGTCCGAGCACTTCCCAAGGCAGCGAACCATCGTGAGGCGTCACAGGGGGCTCAGACGAGTCCACAGGCATAGAACGAGCATTTTTGGGGTGCGATGCATTGATTCCAGGCTCCGAGAGGTCTCCAAGGGCTCTGTCTTCATCCTGGTGTGTCTGAGTTTCATTTTCGAGTGTTTCTTTGATGGAGGAAAGGTGTAGAGGCTGTGGAGACAACGGAGGACATGGTGGTTGAGGGAGAAGAACTGATGAGCTGGCAGTGTGACCTGAGTGACTGTCATGGTCTCCTGGCAGTCCAGGGTGAGGAAACATGAGCCGCCAAAGACGAGGATCGTCACGAGGCATCTTAAAATGAATGTAAGATGGTCCTTTGAAAGAGAGACTTTCTCCATGCAGGCGTACATTCATATGACCATTTTCGAAGAGGAATTCGATGAAATGATCCCTGGCAACAGCATCAAGTCCAATTCCAAGAAGAACACCTCGGGGGGTGATGATTTGCACAGCCATGTCTGCTAGAAATCTATATCAGACACTGTATTTTTACAAGGTATGCTTATATGTCAGGACTGTGGTTTTACAGTCCACCTACGGAGAGGGCCTTGCCAGGTGTGCCGGGGCTCACGGCTGTGGGCGGGGCCTATCAACACAAGCAAACAATGCAGGAAACAATGCCCGAGCATTGTTCCTCATTGTTTTTGGCATGCCTGCCACCGTTTTCGACGGGGAAAAAGTGCCAACAATGAGGAAATATATTTCCTCATTGTTGTGCACCATTTCCCCCATCGTCGGGGGGCGGGAATGGATGGATTGGGCCAGGTGGGTTTGGATGATGCAGCCCTTTTGGCGGGGCCTGTAGCTATTTTTAGATTACGCTGTAATTACTATGACAAACCCATTGTAATGGTCTCGCCGCCGTCTGCCACGACATCCGGCGAGCTCGGGGTACACCAGAAAAATAGTAAAAAAAATTGTTTTAAATTGAAATAAAATACATACATGATGTGGGTGGCTCTTACCAGCCACCAACTATGAGTTAAGATGAAAAGAAATAGAAACGACATGTCGTGACATGTCATTTCCACTCTGGTCCTCATCCCTGCCTTATTGCAGCAAAAAAATGCAAAAAAAAATTGTATTATATTGTAATAAGATAAATACATGCTGCAGGTGGCTCTACTAGCCACCTGCTATGAAATAAAGATCAAACGAGCAGAAACGGCACATCATAGTGCGCCGTTTCTGCTCAGGGGGACAGGTGGTCCCCCTCCACTCCCTCCTCTGTTTGGCGGGGTACCCTCGGCCCCTTCAGTGCTCGTTGGGGGCCCACTCTACCCCTCCGCCTCCTCCTCTGCTCGTTTTCCCCCTTTGTCACTCGTTTGCCACCTTTGTCGCTCGTTTTCCCCTTTGTCGCCTGTTGGGCCCCTTCAGGTGCTCATGGGGGCTCTTCGGGTGCTCATGCTCCCCCTCTTTGTGCTCTCCCTTCTGGTGGTGGGCGCTGAGCAGGAGGCAAAGGGCGCGGGTGAAGAGCGAGGGGGGGAAAAGGGTGAGGGGGGGCAAAGGGCAAGGGAGGAAGGCTGGGACAGGGGCAAACAAGGGAGGGAGAATCAGGGGCAAGGGCAAAGGCAAAGGCGAGAAGACGGGTTGACGTCCGTTGATGTCCTGTGCCCGCTGTCACCGTCCTGTGCCCACCCCTGTTCGTACCCACCATCGTCGTTCATCACTGTCCTTGCTCGTCGCCATCCTTGCTCGTCACCATCCTTGCTCATTGCCACCCCGGTTCATCGCCGCCCTTGCTCATTGCCGTTCTTGCTCATCGCCGTTGTCATTTGTTGGCGTCCCCGTTCATCGCCGCCCCCATTTGTTGCCGTCCTTGCTCGTCGCCGTCGTCATTCTCGCTCATCATTCGTTGCTGTTGCCGTTCGTCACCATCCTTCATTCGTTACCTGCCACCTTTGGTCATCGTGTACTGCTGTTGTTCGCCCACCAGTCATTGTAGTTCTCCTCTCGTCGCTGCTGTTTGTGTGAGGAGGGGGCACCTCTGCCCCCCTCCGCCCCCTGCTCATCCATGGGGGGCACTGCTACCCTCCTCTGCCCCATGCTCATCCGTGGGGGGCACCTCCACCCCCTGCTCATCCATGGGGGCACCTCTACCCCCCTCCACCCCCTCCTCATCCATGGGGTCACCTCTACCCCCCTCCACCCCCTTCTCATCCATGGGGGGCACTTCTAGTCCCCTCCTCATCTGTGGTGGCGCCCCTTGCTCATCCGTGGGGGGTTCCTCTGCCCCCCTACTCATCTGCCAGGGACTCCGCCCCCTGTCGGTCATCGTTCGTGCGCCGATGTGTGTCCGTCGTCCGTCGTCTGTCATTGCGCCTGCGTCGTCATTTGTGTGTCATCGGTCATCGGTCGTCGCCCGTGCGTCGTCGTTCGCCCCTCTCCCTCTGGTCGTCCCTTGCCACCGTCCTTTGTTCGCCCTTCGCCGCTGTCGTTGGTCCACAGATCGGTGGGAGGGTGGTGCCAGCAGGGGGAGAAAGCGAGGCAAGGGAGAGGGGGAAAGGTGAGAGACGGAGGCGTAGGGTTTCATGCCTCCGCCCACATCCCTATTGAAGGGGAGGGGCATGGGAGGACAAGAAAACGAACGTCGACTTAAAGTCGACATTCATTGGCCTAAGGTTGAATTAAAGGCTTATTAGAGTATGGAAACATGAATAAAGCAGATTACTTATCGTTTTTTTCAGTCTTGAGGTGTTGTTTGGGGTGTTGAGTAAAGAAGGGAAAGAGGAGATGGTGGTCGAGGATGAGGATCAACAACGGTCATCGTCGTTGATGGCTTATCTGGCGGATGCCGCGGGCAACGTGATTGGCTGGCGCTGGCAGTCCGGCCAGCCTGTGTTCCGCTCATCAACCTCAGAAGAGCCAATACACTTGAGATATGAAGAAAATCCTTTGATTAATGATCGGTAATTAATAGAACTACTGTAATCTATGTATGTAAAAAAGTCCGAATATGATCTGAGAGCGAGAACGAGCTGAAAGCTTGAGTTACTATTTCCGCGTGGTGATTTACGTCTTTTTGATGTTCCAACCTCTCGAATACCACTTGTTTGACGAGGTTAAACATCATAATAACCATGAATTTGAGATCTTTGGGTAAGTAAGTACATCATATAAAAAAATTAGCCTGAATCTACCATGTAAATCCTATGATACAGGCCGGTGTTTGATATCTGACACATCCATGAGTTGGTTTGACTACAGAATCCACCCCGTCGTGTGCAGTTTCTTAGTTTACATCCAAAAACTACGTTGGCCAGGGGAGCTCCATTCCTCAATACTATCATAATCATCCAGTCTGTACATTATTTTTACATATTTATTTCATTTCTTCTGCCTCTTGAAATCTACATACAGAGGAGAGACTCCCCTAATTGGCTTGAGTCTGAGATGAATTGACTCATAAAATATTTAAATCGCGTTTTATTTTGTTAAAATTACATATATAGATGCACTGATATACTAATAACGATTTCCGAGAGTTTAAATAGAGGAACGACAACTTCTGCATCCAGCGGAGATGTTCCGTTGGTCGACAACGGAACGGAAACGGGATCGGGCCGATAACCCCAGCCAATGGGATGGGCAGCCGGATCCCGCTGAACCGCGATCAACGATGCTCAACATTGTTGATCTTGGTCTTTCTCCATCACTTCCCTCACCCCCTTGCTGCGAAGCAGCCCTGAAACGCGAGACAAGGTAAGTATGGTTCTTTTTTATGTATCTATGTCCCTACTAATCTACCTCTGCATTCACAGAACAGCGTTCACGTCGATGACGACGCACCAAAACCGCCCCTCCCCTCGCGACAGGGATGTGGGCTTGGGCACCTCCATGCCCACCACTGTCTGCTTGGCCACCACCACCTGCTTGCCTGCCACCACCCTCTCACCCAACATCGCACGCTCGCCTGCCATTGCCCTTCGACCAGGCAGAGGATAGCAACGGCAGCGACGATGAGGACAGGGCATGATGTCGACGAGGACAGTGGGGGCATGACGAGGACAACGGGGGCATGACGACGAGGACGCGGGGGTACGACAACGAGGACAACAGGGGCACGGCGACGAGGACAACAGGGGCACGGCAACGAGGACGATGGGGGCACGACAATGGTGGGGGCATGACGAGGATGACGGACGAGGACAACAGGGGCAGGACAATGAGGATGGGGGGATGACAACGAGGACGACGGCAGGGCACCCTTCACCCCTGCCTTCGCCCCTCATTCACTCGCCCCGTCCTCTCCCTCGCCCTGTCGCCCTCTGCCCCGCCTTCTCGCCCCCCTCGCCCACCATCTCGCCCTCTTCCCTCGCCTCTCGCTGTCACCTCACCCCCTCGCCATCCGTGTATTGACGTGAACATCACCGAGGAGAATGAAAGGTGGTACAAGTGGGCAGGGGGGACAGCGAGCGGCTGAGGTGTTCAACAAGCCGCGGATGAGGCCCGGTGAGCCACAGAGGGGAAAACGAGCGACGAAGGGGCTAATGAGGAGGTGAGTGGGCGCAACAAGCAGAGGAGGGGGCCAAACGAGGAGATGAGGGACCCAACAAGCAGTGGGGGCTGCCTGCGAGCAGATGAGGGGACGAACGACAAACTGAGCAGCCCTAACGAGCGGCAAAGAACCCCAGCAACAACTTGATGGACGCCCATGAGCAGAGGGGACCAATGACCCCATCTGACGGCCCCACATGAGCAGCGAAGGGACAAACGACGAGCCAAGGCCCCCCAACGGGCAGCAGAGGGGGTGCATGAGCAGCAGGAGGGCAGAACGAGCAGGTCCCCCCGAGCAGAAACGGCGTTCATGGCGCGCGTTTCTACTCATTTTCTCTTTATTTCAGAGCGGGTGGCTAGTAGAGCCACCTGCACCATGTACATAATATATTATTTCAATTTAAGATGATTTTTTGTAATTTTTTCGTGTACTGAGATCCCCCTGAGGTCGCCGGACGTCGTAACAGACAATGGCTAGAGCAATATAATAGATGTGTCATGGTAATTACAGCAAAATCTAAAAATAGCTATGAGACCTGAAAAAGGGCCGCGTCATCCAAACCACCCCCTCCCAATCCAGCTATCCCGTGGGGGAAATGGTGCAGAATGGTGAAGAAATATCATTCCTCGTTGTTGGTGCCTTTTCCCCATCAAAAACAGGGGCGGGAGCACCCCAAACGACGAGGAACAGTGTCCAAGCACTGTTTCCCATGTTGTTTGCATGTATTGACATGCCCTGCCCACAGCCGCGAGCCCCGGCACACCCGGCAAGGCCCTGTCCGTAGGTGGACTGTAAAACCACAGTCCTGACATATAAGCATACATTGTAAAAATACAGTATCTGATGTATTCTCGTAGCTTATAGAAGTGATTTGCATGGGATGGGAGACAGGAATAGACTCTCCAAACCTGATAGCTGCCTGGATATGGTTGGCAGCCACAAGAGCACATTGAGATTC